GTTTGACATTCAACATACACATCACAAGATTCACAGATTACTACGATCTTTTTGATTAGACTTCAAGAGCAAATTTCTAAGGTAATTTTGTTAAAAACACACTTTTCTTGACAAGTATTTCTAATCTGTCTTACTTGCATTAGAAATAGTAAGAAATGCCACCAAAACGGAGAACTCTGCTGGGCAGAAGTACGTCAGCTGCGAATAGAATGGCAGCCTCAAGAGATGCTGAGAGTCTAGAGCGCAGACAAACTCGGCTTGATGATCAATGTTCAAGACAAGCGGCTTCAAGAGACGCCGAGAGTCCACAACAGACACGGACTCGAATTGACGGTCAACGTTCAAGACAAGGTGCTTCTCGAGCAGCTAAGAGTCCAGAGCAGAGACAAACTCGGTTTGGCGACCAACGTGCAAGACAAGCTTCCTCAAGAGATGCCGAGAGTTCGGAACAGAGACAAACTCGGCTTGGTAGTCTACGTGCAAGACAAGCGGCTTCAAGAGACGCCGAGAGTCCAGAGCAGACACGGACTCGAATTGACGATCAACGTGCAAGACAAGCAGCCTCCAGAACAGTCGAGATTCCGGAACAGAGACGAACTCGGAGTGAAGATCAACGTAGACAACAAGCAGCCTCAAGAGCAGTACATTGGACATTCATGGAAGGGGAAGCGTTTCGCTATGATCCAGCTAAGAACTACGACAGCCATCCTCAACTTCATATTGGACAAATGACCGATGTTTGCTCATTCTGTGATGCTCTCAAGTGGCCTGGAGAAGCACCAGGTATGCGTTGCTCTGGTGGTAAGGTGAGGCTACCGGCACTTCGGCCTCCTCCGGAACCACTGAAATCACTGATGTCAGGAACAACGTCTCAGTCGAAACATTTCCTTTATATTTTCCATTAGAAAATACAATTCCTACTTCCAGATGACGTCTTTCAGTAATCCATAGAAGACCATAGCGACCTTGGTAATTCATAGAAGACTATAGCGACGTCATCTTCTCATACGTCAAACATGTACTATCAAATTATCTAGACCGACATCGGGTACTTCCGCTAGTGATATAATAATAAAAAATTTTCGTCAAGGGTTGACAAAGGAAAAATCTCCTCAAGATCTTGTGTCGAATTAGACACGATCTTGCTATAATCCTGCCGCGATCCAGTCACTCTCTTGAAACACAAATGAAACGGGATTGCATAACGTACTTGATCGAGAACACGATTACAATTATAAGATTGCGATTTTATTTTGCCAAGATCAGTGTTTTTTCGTTACACGGAAAAAAATCGGGTTCGCGATCAGATCTCAGCAAGAATGAAACGGGAATACCACGAGGATCAGGGGCCCTTAAAAACAGATAAAATCGTCTTTTGAGAGCTATGGGCGGCCATTCTCGTAACCGTTTGAACAGCTAAAATGTATGGATTTATGCGTGGTTTTCTGTTTACAAGTATGATTTACACAAAATCGTATGGAATCGATCGCCTACAATTCAGATGACGCGGTCTTGTACGAATCTTATCATACGATTTTATAAAAACTAGCTAGATGTCGTATAATCAGATTCATATAAAGTTGTATAATAGGCAGCTCTACATTTTCGTACGATCGCATGAGCTAGTAAAATGGATCCGTTTCCATTTAATTTTAGTGATTCCACTGGAATTTAGGACTTGGGCTTCTATATCCTTGACTATGATGTTCCGAAAACTGATCAAGAAAGTTATGTTGGTCATTCCAAATTCATGCAATTTCTAAAATTAAAGTGAATCCATACATTTTCCTAACTTTAGTCTGTGATATTAGGATCTCTATAACTTAAAAACGAAAAGAGGCCTTTTACCAGAAAATAGCTTGGGATAGAGTACAA